GAGCAGAGGTAATCAGACCGGTTTGAGTTAGCAGCAAAGGAAGGAATAGCTCATTGAGGTAGAGAGCAAGGATATGAATCTGAAAAAATTTGGACCCTGTTTCTTGATACATGTGGCGAAAGAATGCTGAGACAGGTCAAATGATGCCAGACTCCCATTCCACCTGAACTCTCTGTGATTTCACACCCTCTTCCTGCCCCCCTCCACCAGTCCCCTCCTTCCCTTTTTTGCCTCTATGTGTATGTCTTTATTTTTGTATTGTTATCCCCACCCTAAGGTGTTAAGTCTGTGCAACAGTCTGATTTTGCATTGTCTGGGCATGCAGCTTTGACAAGATACCAAGTTGCATAATTGCATAATTTTATTGGCTATCCTGTGATGTGTGGTATTTGGTCCTATATACAAGCTGTAGGTCATTTAACTTTTTGTATATTCTAATGTTTGTTTCTTTATGAAAATTAATAAAAAATTAAATCACCAAAAAAAAATGCACCCATTGAAAAATCAAACCAAACCACTGCCCCAAGGTTTGAAAAGGTTAATGTTAACCGCTCAGTGCCTCAGTTTCCCCACCTGTAAAATCAGGACCACACAGCTCAGAAGGGGGATCATAGAATCATAGAATATCAGGGTTGGAAGGGACCTCAGGAGGTATCTAGTCCAACCCTCTGAGGATTAACTCTTTAGTGTCTGTAAACCACTAGGCGGGCAAAGTGTTTTTGTCCTTTAACCCCTTTAAATGGCTATTACACAGCAGAGCATGTCACAGTGTATCTCACCCAGTACACAGGAGTGGGGCTTGGCACGTATAGGGAGATCATTTTGCGGCCATAAATCCCTCCACGGCTTACAAAATGCATTCCTCCCCCAGATTAGGCAACCCAGGTTGAAGTGTTTGGCAAGAGACTATCATGAAAATCTCACCGCCTCTAAGTAAGACAGGAAAAGGAGTCGCAGCAGGAGAGGCATGAAAGTGACCCACGGGGACCAGTCAAAATTACGGTCACACCGACACCCTCCCTTTTGATAGGGAGACAATGCACCGGCTAAATGAGTGATCTGGGTCACTGAGAAATAGTACCTCACATTTCCCTCAGCAAAAGGCACTGCAGGCCCAGCGTGGTCAGAGTAGAACCATAGGCCTGGCCCTGACCCCACCTCTGCCCCTAGCTCACGCTGGGACCTTGGGCGGACTGCACGTGGCTTCTCAGTGCCTCGGTTTCCTCATCGGGCTACAGAGGACAATCTCATCCACCTTGCAGGGGGCTTGGAGGTTTATTAACCGTTTAGTCCCTGATCCTTCAGTGATGCAGGCTCAGGACTGACTGTCTATTATTCATATCATTTGTTTATCCACAACTGTGTGACTTTCTGTTTGCTGTGACACCATGTCTTTGAGTGTGTGTCTGCACGAACCGTTAGTCCGCGGCTAGCTGGGGTGTGAATCTACCCTGCACTAGCCTGCCCTGGACTAACCGTTCCTGTGGCTCTTGCTGGTGCACATTAGCAGTTCATTAGCGTGCTCTGACGAGCCCTGTTTCCGAGAGGACAAGCTGAAAGTGCACTAACCGCTCGCTGCAAACGAAATGTTTGTGCAGACAAGCCCTTCCTGGGGTCCCACGGCTGCCGCCTCGCCACCAGTCCAGATTAGATTTGATCAGTTTGCGTGCAAAAAGAAGGGTTTTTTTTCTGACTGCCATCTATGCAAAATACAACCGAGATCTGAAAGTCACGCTGAGTTCCTTGTGGTTCACACATCACCATCACCAACAATAATTCTGGGATAGCGTCTCTCCCAGGCCCCGTGCCCTGTATACCTCAATGGCAGAGAAGAGGGGCCAGAACTGGGCCCAAAGGTTCAGAGGGGAATTTCCCCGGCACAGCTACGGTGTGGGGCTGCCATCAAAGGCCCTACCCCATGTCCCCTTCACACAGGGCCTATCGGGGTGGGAGGGGAAATGTCAGAGAAGCTCCTTGGCACATGCCCCTACAGAGATTCCGGGTTGCTCTTGACTGCGGAGCAGCCTACAGGCAGCCCTATCTGAGACGGCTATAAATGAGAGCACCGCTGGGCCTGCTCTAATTTATGCCAGGGACTGCACAGGCCCTCGGAGAAGCCCATAATCTTGAGTGCTCAAAGCTGGTTTACAGCCACTTTAGCCCTCCCCACTCTGCTGGAGGCACAGCACGGCTGCTGCCCTCAGTGACACCTGTGTAACCCCACTGCCCCTAGCATTCACTCCCCTTAGCCCTGCAGAGCCGAAGGAGCTTGTGGACAGCAGGCCGGATTCCACCCTGCCCCGGCAGTTACACCAGGGAGTGGGGAATCGGGCCCTCTCTACGTTGGTGTAACATGCCCCTTAGCAGTTTTCACCAGCTCACACTCCTCTTTGAATCTGGCCCGTGGATCACAGTTCTGCTCCACCTCTATTAGGAGACCAGCGCTGCTAAGGTACAATTGTTGCCAGACTCCGGAGAGGTTCCTGAAGGCAGGTTTCACCGCTGCTGCCACGTATTTTCCTGTGGGACTTTGAAGAGCGTAGGATTCAAGCTACGCTGCATGACAGATTGCACTGCAAGGGTCACCGCTTTTAATCCCACGCTCTGGGGCAAATTCAGAGGCAAGTTTCAGAAGCTGTAGCCTGAGTTCAAATTAGCTCAACAGACACCTTTATCCAACCCCGTCAACACAGGTGTGGCACCCGGCTTAACCTCCTCTAGACTGAATGGGACCTACCTAGGACCACAAAGGGTCCACTTACACTGCAACTGGGAGCTAGCACATTAAACGGAGCAGGGTAGGCCAGGATAGCATGGATGGTGACTGGGGCTAGCCACCGGAATACATACCCAGAGGCTCCCGGCGGGTTTGCACTTGGGTGGTGAGCCTGAGCTGCCGGCCATGGCTACTCCCAGCTACACTGCTTTTTAGCATGCTAGCCCGAGCTGAGCTAGCGCCTGTCTGTCTACCCAACGCGCTGCAGCCAGGGGCGGCTCTATGTTTTTTGCCGCCCCAAGCACGGCAGTCAGGCGGCCTTCGGCAGCATGCCTGCAGGCAGTCCACTGGTCACGCGGATTCAGCGGCGTTTCTGCGGGTGATCTGCCGGTCCCGCGCCTTTGGCGTACCTGCCGCCGAATAGCCACCAAAGCCGCGGGACCAGCGGACCTCCCGCAGGCATGCCGCCGAAGGCTGCCTGACAGCCGCCCTCATGGCAACTGGCACGTTGCCCCCCGCGGCTTGCTGCCCCAGGCACGCGTTTGCTGCGCTGGTGCCTGGAGCCTCCCCTGGCTGCAGCATACAAGTACCCAAAGACTGATACTCATATACCACTGTGTAACTTACACAACCCTCCTGACACGTCACTACTGATTCAGGCCTGCGTCTGTAATTATGTAATCAACCAGCACTCCACGGTAGGAAGGCGCCAGGAGCTGACAGCCGAATTCGAGGATACTGTGAGGAAGACACAGGCACTTTAAGAGCTCCTTTCACCTCTCCTCGCTGCATCTGATTAGCACCCACATGGCCGAAGTTCGCTCATGCAAATCAGAGTGATATGGGAATTACCAACAATGCAAAGGGTAGTTCTGCCCTGGAGTACAAGGCAGTGCATCAGGGGACTGGCACGTTACAATGACAAATAGCTGAATGCATGGTGATGGGAGAGGCCTTGAAGTCTTATTGTCAGGGGAACCAGCATGTGCACTGTGGGTAGAAGCAGGTTGAGATGCAGCTGCAGAGCTACATACGGGGGAACTAGGACTACTGCAGGGCAGGAGAGCAGTGCATTAGCAAAGCAGGAGCAGAGGAGGACTGGAGTAGCAGTGGTATGGCAGGTCACAACTGAGGTGCCTTTGCAGAGCTCGTTTGGTGTTCAGATGGCATTGCAAAGAAAGGGGACAGACAGACAGACATGAATGGGAGGCTGAAACGGAAGGTGGCTATGCAACCTGCCATAGAGATTTCAACTCTAGTGCCACTGATTTCACGGCCAGTCTAGCTCAAGTCACCGTGGGCCCCACAGAACCGCCTGGAATTATCCGGCCACAGATTAAATGGGGAGGAGCGTTCATTACATGCAAGTCTATGGGTCTGAGCACAGGCCTGGCAGCCCGCATCAGGGAAGGGTATGAACCTGATCAAGCGATGCAGCAACTCCCCACCACAAACACAAGATAAAAGAAACAGGAACTGAAATGTGCTTTAAGACAGCTCCTGGATAAACCACCAAAATGAAAGGAGAACACAGCATGACAGCCCACTTGCAACTTCCAGCTTTGAATCGGGCAAAGAAAGGCCAAGCAGAAAACAACCAGAGTCCCCTGAAACAGGGTTAATCCTGCTCAGCACATTCCATCTATAGATCTTAAAATGCTTTGTGATGGTGGGGGAGCATCATGATCCCCACTCTTTAGCCTCACAGCACCCCTGTGGGGTACACCAGCATTATCCCCATTGTACTGATGGGAAGACCGAGGCACGGGCAGGGGGAACTATTTCACCAAGATCACTCAGAAAGAGAACCCTGGTGTCCTGTCTTCCAGCCCCACACTCTAGCCACTGCCCCATGCGGCTTCCCTTTACAGGAGTGTTCTCCGTCTCTCCATTGTGTATTGAATCCCACCCAGTAACAAACATTTCCTGCCCGCCTCATGATTCTTTACTTCTCTGCCCCCCTGCTGCTATTCCTCTCGGTGGCTGAATTAGCTGAATCTACAGGAAGCGATGGGATCAGTTGATAGAAAAGAGGCTAAGCGGCAAATAAAAGTGGTATCATCCATCCATGCATGCTGGTTTATTAAGATTCCCTATCAAAGGACTGTCTTATCAAGTTTCCGTCTCACAAATAAGGCAGCACTCTTCACTCCAGCCCTTACACTCTGCCAGGCAATCAAGATGAAAAAACACATACTGCTCCGACACTCAATTCTTTCCCTTCTTCACCCCAACAGGCTTTTTATCCAAGCAAAAAAAACCCCACAAGTAAATAATCCAGTACCTTTTTTTTAGCTGTGATATCTGAATTCTGAAGCCCGGCGCTCCATTCCCCCTTCTCTGGCTTCCTCCACTGTCACGGTTAGCTACGGGTATTCTGCTTGCTGAGGGACTTCCTCAAATGCTGCTACAGCAACCGGGAACTTACCAGAAAAAAAAAAAACACACACACACACACATAGACGACATTAACAGTTGTACTCTTATGAGAGTATGTTGCAATGACGTCCATTTAAACGCAGGCTGACTGCCGCCAGAGCCTTCAGCCATTAGTTTAAAATAAGATGATCTTAAAGGAGGGGGAGGGAGGGAACCCGGCCACCTCCACAATCGCAGCCCCACGAGTGTGAGAACCCAGCGCAGACAGCAGAGATCACAGCCACTCCCACACGCTACCTGGGGCACCTGGGCTAACAACCGGCCATGAAACATCACCCGGAGCACATACTGCTGTTGACACCCTTAGCGGCACCCACAACCTCCTCCTGAGTCACACGGCTCATTCCTGCTCCACATGACCACATAGGCAGTGACTCTGTCTGACCCGGGGACTCTCCTTCCTCTTTACCCGTGATGGGTCTGTTTGTCATTTCTTCACAAACATGCTTCACGTCTTAACCAACCAACCAAAAAAGAATTGAGAGAAACTGAGACTAGTGTGTGTACATTTATAACAGGCGCCTTTGCGCGGGGCTGTTGGGCAGCCTAGAAAGGTCTACAATGCTGTATCACTGGACGTGTGTCTTTTTGCATATCCCTAACCAACATGGTAGGCCAACAAAGCTTTGTAATGTAGATCTGGTGCTGGTCCAGTATGTTGTCTGTGAACTTAGACACTTCAGAGAAAGGAATAAGAACCCAGCAATAGAAGATTGGGATAATGTGTATCCCCAGTAGGTCTCACGTTAGTCTCTAATGGTTAGAGATTGGCTTAGATCCTGAAGCATGGAGTTTAATAACCCTGCCAAAATATTTGGCTGTCATTAATTATGATCACAGTGGATATTCATGATATAAAGCTCTTAAATGTCCAACCCCTTTCTGAATCTCACTACATACTCAGCCTCAGCGGCTTTCTGCAGCGGACACAGCCGTGTGAAAAGGCACTTCCTTTTGTAGTTGTCACCTTTTAATGTCAGCGAATGTCCCCTGGCTCTTAGCAGTGCTTCTGAATAGTGCTTGTAACTACTGGCGGGGGTGAGTCGTTTCCTCGGGATTTCTGGTGTCCTCCAAGGGGGAAATAATTCAAGAAACACCTTGGCCTTATTCTTGCAATGAACTTTAATTGCCACTCGCAAAAAGATTCAAAATTCTGCATTACGTTTGTGTTGGGATTGGAAACGGACATCAGCCGTTCGCTTTCTGCCCACACAATTATGCTTCTTTTAGAAACAAGCAAGATTTTACACACAGGCAGAGAACACTGGGTACATTACGGGACAGACAGAACATCTGTCTTGTCCGAGATTGGGACCTCCATGGCTTTAAAAACTAACAAAAGTTAGTACAAATATGTCTGAACACAGCAACAATGGAGAAATTCATTAGCAGTGCTCGGTGCTGTGGGCAGATCTCCGAGAACCAAGTGCAAACCAATTGATATTTAAATGCTGGTAATTTAGACTTGTAATAGAAGCTCCCTATGTCAGATCAAAGGCGGCTGACTCCAAATTAATTCAATGAGGCACCACATATTTAGTGAATGTGCGGTTAGGATATTATAAGTAATTTGTATCACAGCGCCAGATTTCCGGACCTTCAACCTGCACAGGTATGAGAACGCCGCCTCGTCAGAGCAAGAGACAGCATGTGGAATCTGCTGAGCCCGAACAGTACCCCACTTAATGCGACTACTCTCTGCCCACCTCTCTGCTGGCCAAGAGGAAGACAGGGGTGAAAACCCTTTCAAAGGGGCCCTCCCAGGCCAGCAAGAGAGTTGGCTTTCTGGGATCCAATTCTCAGAGCAATCAGAGGGCTGGGAGCAGACAGCCCAGCACAGAAGCAGGCTGCGGCAGCAGCAGCAGGGGGCTCTGCATCCAGACAGTAGAAGAGAGACAGCCTGAAAAGGAACTCAGGGACACAGAGGCAGTCAGTCCGTCCTGTGCCTAGAGCACTTAAAGGGACAGTCACCTGAACTCGTGTGTGGCAGCCAGAGACAGGGCATTAGCCGGGGGAAGAGGACAATGTTACCCGAGCTGGTGTTAGACTCAAAGGGAATCTCATCAGGGGCAGGTGTAGGGGCATCCCTAACGGAAACTGCTACATAGGGAGGTAGCAATGGCCAGACTGCATTAGACCCACGGCCCAACTAGGCCAGTGTCCTGCCTCTGACAGTGGCCAACACCAGGTACTCCACAGGAAGAGTTAAAAACCCCACCGCAGCAGTTGTGGGATAATCTGCTCCCCCTCCCCACCCCATTATTAGAGATCAGGAGGACAACTAGTTAGAGACTGATTTAAACCCTGAAGCATAAGGTTCATCTCCCTGCCAACAACTTTATTGTCACGAATTATGATAACCCTGGATATTCTTTATATCCATGTAAATTTCCCATTAGTCTTTGAACCTTGCTGAGTTCTCAACCTCAATGACCTCCAGTGGCAGTGAGTTCCATGGTCTGATTGTACATCTTGTGGGGAGGAAAGTATTTTGTTTGATCAGGTTTTGTATGTGCCACCTTTTAAAATGTCATTGAACGTCCCTGTCACGGGGTGACTGGCTCCAGTAAATGAAGTAGATCCAGCACCCCTGTGCCAGAGCAGGTGCTCCCAAGTTGTCAGCACCGGAGGCTATAAAAGACCCATTGGGAAAGCCCTGGTGAGGATGAGTCAGGTGAAGTCAGGAGACTGGAGGCGCGAGGCGGCCTCCAGGGACAGCTTCAGACAGCTCTCTGCAGGCCCTTTCTGGAAAGAGGGAGGAGTTAGCAGGAAAGCCAGTAGAGGGGCTAGCAAGCTGTCCTTCCTGAGCCAGAGAGAGCCGAGGCCAGAGAAGGCTGCAGAGGGTGGAAGGCTGAAAGCAGCAGAGGGCTCTCAGAGCTGAAACCAGAAGGCCACAGACGAGGGGGAAGCACCCAGGGGCTACAAAGGAGCCCTAGAGCAGCAGTTCTCAACCAGGGGCCTGGGGCCTGCGAGCAGGTTTCAGGGGGGCTGCCAAAATAAACCAGAGAGCAGGGCCAGCGTTAGACTCACTGGGGCTCAGGGCAGAAGGGCAAATCCCGAGCCCCGCTGCTAGGGGCTGAAGCGGAAGCCTGAGCAACTTAGCTTTGCGGGGAGCCCTGCGGCGTGGGGCCCTGGGCAATTGTTCTGCTTGCTACCCCCTAACGCCGGCCCTGGCTCTTAATCTACTGAAAGAAGTTGTTGTGGCATGGGTGGGCCATGGAGTTTATATAGCATGTTGGGAGGAGCGGGGGCGCTCAGAAGAAAAAGGTTGAGAACCTCTGCCCTAGAGAGCTAGAAAGCAGGAGCAGCAGGATGGACAGAGACCCGTGGGCAGGAAGGCAGTGAGAGAAAGGGTGAGCTGAGGAACGGCTTTTGGTTGGTTGGTTAAGTTTGGACAATAAACCTATAGAGACTGTGGGCCTGGCAACGAGCCCTTGGCAAGCTGGGGAGAAGTCCTGCCTTGTTACAGTTCCCTTGTTCTTGTGTTCTGCGGCGGGGAGACCAGACGCTCCTGATCCACCTTCTCTCGACCAGCTGGGTTTTACATCCTTCCATCCCGCCCCCTTGATCTGTCTCCTTTCCCAGGTAACAATCTCAGTCTCTTCAATCTCTCAGTCACCGGGAGGAGGACGTGGCCCAGATTCTCTAGCTAGGATGATTGAACAAGGCCAGGCGTTTACCTGAGCAGTTTTGGCCTCAGAGCCACCACTGCTGCCCGTCTGAGCCCCCGCGGGGGCTGCCAGCCCCAGAGCCCAGCGAGGAAACCAAGAGCGATGGTACCAGGCCAGGGGGCAGCTCAGGGCAGTTGATGCTGCCAGAGAGGGAAGTTCAGGGATCAGAACAACCCGGTTCCCACCGAGCGCTAGTCCACGCTTCACCTTCTCGGGTTTTACTTCCATTTCCATAATGATGCTGTCCCATCAGCCCCGGAGCAAAGGGGATGCGGTTGTAGTGCAGAGGCCAGCCGAGAGCTTCTTGTAAACAAGTTCAGGAACCTTCCCTTTCTGCCTGGGCCGCCCCCTGCACAGATCGGCCGGCTCCCTCCTCTCTGCACACGGCTGAGCCCCTCTGTCTATCTGTGCACAGCATCCCGCCGGCAGTACGCTGAGCTGCCCTCCGTGACACCTGGCCTTTCCCTCCTTGTCATCTTCCAGCAGACCCCGGACTCCCCTCACTCCGGGCAAGCTTCCTGGCTTCTCTCCACTTCCCTTTCCCTGCTCATCCACAGTCCCCGTTTCCTTTCTCTGCCCACCCATGGACTGACCCCATTCAATATATTGCCCACCGCCCCGCACTGGCTGAGACCAGAATCCAGCACCCGCCAAGGCGTCCATTGCTGAGATGGGCTCGCCAAGGAAAAGGCAGAGCCAAGGGAGGGGAAGAGCTGGCGGGAACCCTGTGGAGCGAGATCCCAGAAGTGGCCATTTCAAAGGTGGGAATCAGAGAAACAAGGTCGGTCCTTGATGGGCTCAGGCCAATCTGTGAAGCTCAACGCACGGTGACGGGACGGCGTCGATCTCATGCAAGAGCCCTGCAGAAGGGTGAAAACGCTCTATTGACAGCAGCGAAACGAAGGCTGGAGACTCAGCACTGCTCTCCATCTTCACTGGGTGGTTTGAAGGGGCCTGGCCCGGGGCCCAGTTCAGAGAGGAGAGTGCTCCGGTCACATCTGTTACCATCAGACAAAGAGGCAGGAGACCAAACCTCAGAAGGAGACACTGAGCAGTGCCGTAGCCTGGCCTGCACCAGGGTTTCCCACATCCTGACATGGGGCTCAGGGGTGGAGGTGCTGGGTAGGTTGCATCTCTGTGGAAGGCGGGGAGGAAATCTGGACTTCTGAGTGGTACTTTTGGCTTGATTGGAGAGAGTGGGCTATGCAAACGCTCTGTTCACCTTCCCCCCCGCCTCCCACCAAAGGAGCAAGTCTCAATTAGCACATTCTCCCTCTGTCTCCTGTTGATCACCCAGCCTGCCACAGGTG